GGATCTGCACTTTGTCAGCGTCGCCTTCACGTCACACTTCCATTTCATTTAAGATCTGTGACTGAATCATTCCATATAACTCAAACCTCTACATGTTTTACATGAAAACTGTTCAGTCAAATGGAACAGCTGTAATGTTAAAGTCGTGAGAATTGTAATCAGTAGAATCTTGTTTGTTGTTTTTTCCAAACTTTTTTGATCCAAAATAAAACTGTTAAATTATGAGCATGAGCATGTGTCTTGGCATTTGATTAAAGCTGTTTAATCGTAATGATTTAGGGGAAATTCTTTTAAATAACACTGTTTTCTCTTGAATGTTTAGTGCAGTCAGTTTATTGATGGTGTTCGATCATAATAATCTAGGAAAATTCTGTAAAATAACAGTGTTTCTCTGTACAACTCTTATTGTGTAACTTTACTGAACGGATTTGATCGTAATAATCTGGGAAAAGTCTGTAAAATAACAGTGTTTCCCTGTAAACATTTTATTGCAAATATCTGTAGATTTATTATTTTTTGCACTTTATTTCAACAAAAAAATTTGACCGTAATTTTATGTTTTTTGTTTGGCAGCTGTTGCTGCAGTCATTTGTTTTTACAGTGCAGCTTGTTTCATATGTAGTGCAGGATATCAAACAATATTTTATTGCTTAGACGTGGTTCCTAAACTATTATGCCAAATTTAACACTGGAAGCACCAGAATTTATTTTTAGTAATTCCAGCTTTGACTGTTAGAATGTTCTAAATGAATAGGGCATAGGGTGGATAAGTGGGAATAGAACACAGCCAGGAACTCTGTTTCTCACTGCAGCTCCAGAGGTGTAGTTGCAAGTACTCAAGTTTGCGACGCAGTTTGCGAATGCTCGTTGGAGCGACGGATTTTGGGAAATGGCAAATCAACAAACTATGCTTGCAACGATGCAACTTGCAACCTTAGTTGGCTAACAATGGTTTTGGGAAACGCACCCCAGAGCTGAGCTTTAGTTCACTGTCTGAGCAAACACATCACAGTTCATGAACCACACTAATGAGCACTTGTGGTCATTTAATACACGTGAACTGTTTTCCCACAATGATGTATAGCAGCTTACGGAAAGGGTTTATCAGTGGAATGAATGGTTTGATGATTCAATCTAAACCTCTCATTTAAAAGACAAAATCTCTTCTCTCTGTTAAGCGGGCAAGACAAGTCTGCAGCCCCAAAGACTAAGCACTGGCTGTTTTTATCTAAGGATTTAACGGTTTAATCTTCTTGTTTTCTGTGTTTAGAGAAAAACTCCAACTAAAACAAACCCAAGAGTCTCTCTTCATGAGTGTTTGAAACCAATCTGCAAGTGTTATGGGTTTAGCTGCTTCAGTTTGAAGGTGTGGAGTGAGAGCTTTAGTCTGGGAAGCTCATCAAGGAGGATTGAGCCTTGATGTGATCTCCTGAGATGATGTTACGCTCCGGCATTCCTTTGGAGATCACTTCTGGAGACTTCACCGCTCACAATGGGCTCTCTCTGTCCCTCAAGTCCTAATTAAAACCTCACAAAAGCCCTGTGGAGGCGTGACTCACGTTTGCTGGGGATAAATGCTGCTCACCAGAGGGAGTGTCTGGAGGATTACTGCGCCGCTCGCCTGCATGCTGATCTCCCAGACACATACACACTCACGAAAATGCTTTTCTTACTTCTAAACATCTTTAAAAAAGTCTTAAATCAAGAAGCTTTTTAGAAAAAAAAATTTAAAAATGAAATAATTAAGTCAGAATTAAGTTTTTACTTGAAGCTAGTTAAATAATCTGCCATTGGGGCAAGAAAATGATCATATTTTAGTCACCTCATTGGCAGATTATTTTGCTCAAACATCTAAATTTTGACTTTCTGAAAAAAAAGACAGCATGTTTTTGCTTGTGTAGAATGCTTCTTTAATTAAGAGTTGCATATATTTGGACTAGAAACATCACAAAAGCTGAATTTTTGTATGCAGTGTTTGCATTTGCATGGCATTTTAGATCACGCTTTTGGCATGAAGCTACAGAGGAGTCTGAGTGTGTGTCGTCGTCTGTCCCATCATTCACGAAGACACCACAGAAGTCTAAACACAGACACCGTCATTCATTAGAGCGGTTAACTCCTCATCACCACTTTTCCCAAACAAGGTTTGGTGAGGTGTTGACGCACGCTTGAGGCTGTGGTTGTGCTGTGTTTACTTCATCATACGTGATTCATTCTTGCCCGTGTCGCCCCACTCTGGAAGACGTTCAGATGACTCCCAAGGCCCGTAGCGAACATATAAGTTGTAGACGTTAAACAGCAAAAACAGCTGCAAGCAATTTGAGGAGATTTGCTTAACGGGCAACTATTATGCCTCTTTTCTCAAGATGCAATACGAGTCTTTAGTGTCCCCAGAATGTGTAAAGTTCCACCTCAAAACGCCCAGCAGAGCTTTATTATACTCTGCAGAAAATGTCAGAACTCTTTTATAGAGTATATGCTTCTGCTGCTCTCAGATGTTCTCAAATAAAGATTTCATCATCTGGTAATATCAAGATATTGACATATATCTGCTAATAAGTCACTTTAGAAGTATTTAACACTATATGTTGGTGTGTTGCTTTATTGAATTGGCATGTCCAGAGTAAAGCAAGCTTTTTAATAAATTAATATGCAAAAGTCAAAGTACAAAAGACTTAACTGAAGTTAACAAATGCAGCCTTACTGTACAGTATTAACAAACAAAAGGTTTATGAATTGTCGTAGAATATTCAATGTCGAATGCCAGATTAACATGTGAATATGTTAATATTTGAAAAGAACCAGGTCTTCATCATGTGCTACTTTAGTGCTGTCGCCTCACAACAAGAAGGTCGCTAGGTCGCTGGTTCGAACCTCGGCTCAGTTGCCGTTTCTGTGTGTGAGTTTGCATGTTCTCCCTGTGTTTGCATGGGTTTCCTCCGGGTGCTCCGGTTTCCCCCACAGTCCAAAGACATGCGGTACAGGTGAATTGGGTAGGCTAAATTGAATGAATGAATGAATTTTGAAGTGTCCACATTATTCACTTCATCTTCATTTCTATAGCAGTGGTCCCCAACCACCATGCCGCCAAGAAATGCACCCCTGCCGTAAAATGCACCCCCTCAAAGACTTTCATTAGCATTCTCAGGCTACATTTAATAAAAAAATAATTTTAAAAAGCCCATAATTGATTAAAACCTAAAAATTATTATTATTTTGATGGATAAAGCAAGGACAAGAAGTGAAACGCATTTTAAAACACACTAGGTTTACAAATAAATGTAAAAAAAAACTATATTGACCGTAGTGTAGCCTAAAATTAGGCTTTTTGGTGGCCTTTAAACAAACATTTAGGCTACATGGAACAAATTAAAATTGTTGTTGCTGTTTTAAACTAAATCACACATTAAACAATTCACTTGATCTCATCCATATTGTATTTAAAGTCAAGTATTAATTAATTAATTAATTAATTTATTTATTTATTATTAAAATTAATAAATAAATTAATTAATTTATCTATTTGTTTATTTATTTATCTTTTTTTATTTTTTTTTATTAAAATTAATAAATAAATAAATTAATTCATCTATTTGTTTATTTATTTATCTATTTATTTATTTATCTAGTTGTTTATATATATATATATATATATATATATATATATATATATATATATATATATATATATATATATATTTATTTATTTATCTATTTATTTTTTATTATTTTAGTCTTTTTTATTTATCTATCTATCTATCTGTCCGTCTGTCCATCCGTTTGTCTGTTTCTTTTTTATCTATTTATTTATTTATTTATTTATTTATTTATTTTTATTTATTTGTTTGTTTATTTATTTTTTATTTTTTATTTATTTATTTATTTATTTAGTTATTTTTATTTATTTATTTATTTATTTATCTATTTATCTTTTTATTTGTTGTCTATCTGTCTGTCTATCTGTCTATTGATTTATTTATCTTCTACAAGGGAAGGGTACCATTCATGAAACTCACCTCAGTCTCTCTCATTAGTGTCATAACTCTATTAATAAAAATATTTTTAATAAAATCAATTTCAGTTAATAGATGGACACTTCAGAGGGGGTGCATTTCACGGCAGGGGTGCGTTTTTCGGCACAACACCTTGCCGCACAATAAATCATTAATTATTTCCGTTTTATTAATCACCTGTCTGTGAGTCTGAAAGATCTTTTATTTTTATAAGTCTTTTGTTTTGAAAGATGACCGTATTCTCTCGCTTAACTGGGGTCTAATAATTCAGAGGGGCTAATAATTCTGACTTTAACTGTCTGTATGTATGTATATAAATATGCATGCATATATTTCAGAAAATGTTTGTTTATTTTTACATATAAAATGTATATGATACAAATTATACTTTATATACAGTCAAAATTAATAATGCTCCAGTCATACTGTATTTTTCAATTCCTGTGAATTTCCCAAGTGATGTTTAACAAAGCAATATTTCTATTCTTCTGGGTTTTTTATTCATCTTTTTTTTTTAGTTTGACTTGAATAAAAACAGTTTTTAATGAAGTTTAAGGTTAATAATAGCCCTTCAGACTTAGTTTTTCAATTGTAAACAAAACAAACATTCATTCATTCATTCATTTTCTTGTCGGCTTAGTCCCTTTATCAATCCGGGGTCACCACATTCTCTCCGTTAACCCTCACTTGGGAAATATTATTAAAAGAATTAGAAAATCACTGGAGGGCTTATAATAATTTCTTTTCAACTGTGTGTTTAAAAGTTTTGTTTTGTATAGTTGTGCTTTAGTATGTGTGTGTGTGTGTGTGTGTGTGTGTGTGTGTGTGTACACATTTACACATTTACACTACACACATATTATGAACAAACAAACGTTTATGTTGGGTGTGATTAATCTTTGTCCTCCACAGATATTAATCCTCTGTAATTTAAAACTATAGAAGTGCCGTGTTGTATTAATGTGTGTGTTTCTTGGTCTGTTTCAGAATGACCGCGTGTTGGGCTGGTGTGAGAACCACAGGAGATGTTCACAGGTGAGCCGTTCCTTTTCTTTTTGTCAGATGAAGTTCAGAGCTTGACATTATTCACTGAGCTCGCAGCTTATGCCTCAGCGCTGCTAAATAAAACTCTGTTCAAATGTAATTTCCTTTTATTACAAGGAAATGGCCAAAGGTTAATGCCGTTACACAAACCACATGCCCTGCTCATGCACTAAAGCTCACTCATGTCTAATGGCTTCTGGAAACCCAACACAAACAGCACTGAGGGCCACTGTTTTACCCCGGCAGGGTTTTTCTCTCTATTTCTGGCCTTATTACGGCTCTTTCCTTCCACCTTATTACTGTCATTTTTAATGTACTACGTTATTAAATAGATAGATATATTTGAGGTTTCATTTTTTACTGTGCCATTTTATTCATGTGAAATCAAAAATGCTATTTTACATCTCAGCGAGCATCTGTGCGTATTATTTTAATTAAATTACATGTTTGCAATCCTTTTCAATCACATGCACCTGCTTAGAAACATCTGATCTCACAAAGTCTTATTCATTTATTCATTTTCTTTTTGGCCAAGTCCTTTAATCTGAGGTCACCACAGTGGAATGAACCGCCAACTTATCCAGCATATGTTTTACGCAGTGGATGCCCTTCCAGTCACAACCCATACACACCCATTCACACTTATACACTACGGCCAGTTTAGTTCATCAATTCTCCTATAGCGCATGCGTTTGGACTGTGCACCCAGAGGAAACCGACACCAACACGGGGAGAACATGCAAACTCCACACTGAAATGCCAACTGACCCAGCTGGGCTCGAACCAGCGACCTTCTAGCTGTGAGGGGATTGTGCTACCCACTGAGCCACTGTGACGCCCCCAAAAAGTCTTTTCATTTGAGACCACTTTTCTCTGTGGATTAAATAAGTGGCACAATACGAAATGGCTTGTGAACGTGTTTCATGTTGACTTTAAGCAGTTTGTTTTTCATTTGCTCTCTTGGGAAGTCCATTTGCGAGGATGCATGTCTCAAAAAAAAGTTCCCGGATTCAGTTTACATCAGGAAAAATTCAGTCTGCTCTCATGGGGAAATATGCACACCGGCCTTTTCGCAAAACTCATAAACAAAACCCCAAAGATATAATCACAGCTGAAACTTCCTTTGACATGCGTATATTACGATTACAGGAGACGTTATCAGTTAATAAAGACGTCATACAATGCACAATAATAATAATAAATCACAATGATGAATGGAAGAATAACAGAATGACTGATGCAAGAGTAATCAACTGAGGCAGGTCAGAAGTTATTTCTGTAGACACACTCAAACTCAGCTGTAAAGCAAACCATGGACGTTTCTGAGGATCGTGAAATGCATCCTGGGAGGTACGTATTTGTGCAGTTTTTGTTTTCGTGAATCCGCTTTTTCGCATCTCGAACGCCTCTTGCCCGCGCTGTTCTCGCGTAAAGCTGCCGGAGGTCGCTATTGAGCAACCATCTATTCGGCTTACTGAATAACTGAATGATTGACTGGGCGACCGGCCAATCGGTAGACCCGCCCTCCTCCTCCTCCTCCTTCCCTAAACCCAACCGGTTTTACCAATTGACCCGTTAGCCCGCCCACCCGCTCGCCCGCTCACTTCCCTCCCTAAACTCAAGCAGTGATTTACAAAAGCCGTCCAGAAAAACTGCGTTTTCGGATTTCACCACATGCTCACCCTCACTTCATTTTTTTGATTCTGTTTTTTGTCTTTTGCCTGATTTCTGGAACCGCTCTTCCCCGGACTCGAACCTGGTCCTCGCCGCCAGCTCTCCTCCGGGTCTCCGCTCCGCCGATGTACACGACGAGCTAACCGGACAAACCGCTTGAGGCGGGAAAGCCCTCCACACGGAGGTGAGCTGTCAGGCGATGAGTGTGAAGAGGAGCGGCATCACACCGCCACGTAGCGTTCGCTTGAAAAAACGAAATGCAGCCATACATACCTCCAGCCATGTAAATCGCAGTCTCCAGAAACGTCCGCAGGACTACGCTTTCAGAATGAGTCTGGGTTAAAAGATTTTGTTAGGTTAAACAACTACTACTATTGTACTAAATCGTACAAATTCAAACAAGTTCAGTCACACAAAAATGTCTAAAAGTCCAGTGGGAGATGAGCAAACCGTCCTACAATGTACAAATGAGATCGTACAACTTTATACGAATTGGCTGCCAGTGGTGTAAAGAAACTAATTTCAAATACTCAGATGACGGCAATCGAGTAGTTTTTCTCAGGAGTTGTATTTTACTAAGTAGTTTTATAAATGTGGACTTTTACTTTCCCTTGAGAACATGTTTACTGCAGTATCTGTACGTTTACTCCACAGTCCTTAAACCTGCGTCACTACTTTATCTTTTCTTGTCTATGGGGATGAGAGAACTCAGTCCTGTGATTCCTGTCCAATCAGATCACATATAGAATGTAAATTGCATCATAATGAACCACCTCAAGACATGGGCGATTCATAATTGCAGAAAACTGTTTTGAAGCATTAAAAATGTCCAAGAAGATGTCCAAAATCTCTACACACATTGACCCAGAGACTGTTTAGAGAAGATGAGCGATGTCTACTGTATGATGACCGAAATGTCCTTAACGGCACAGGATATTAACCTGACGTTAGATTGACGGTGTACTTCAACCTTGTGGAGATCTTGCAGTTTGTTAGGTAGTGAAAATCAGGTTGACGTCAGAACTCAACATCAGGCGGACGTCAGTGTCCATGTCTAAACTAAAATCGACCAAATATCAACGTCTAATGTTGTACAGCTTGACGTTGTGTGGACGTTACCACTATCTATCAGATGTTTGATTTTGGTTGCCGTACCCGTTTAATAAATGTCAGTTTTTGATGTCAATAAGAGGTTGACTCGACGTTGGGTTATAATCACCTCCCAATATAATCTAAAATCAACCACATATCGATGTCATTCGACGGTGTCATTGGACATCAAAATATCGTTGTCCTTAGTAGACATTGAATTTTGGTCATCTGATGTCACAACCTAAATCTAACCTAATGTTAACGTCTTATGATGTCGTGAGCCTGCTGGGCAATAACGAAATGCACTACAGAATGTTACGTTTACACACTCATGCACAAATGACATGCAAACACATCAGCTTTTCACAGCGTAACACTCACTAGCTACTCTTGAAAGCTCTACTTTTTACTCATACTCTGAGTAATATTGACAGCAGATACTTTTACTCTGCACTACATTAAGCAAGTAATGGTGCTTTCACTTCAGTATGAGTTTTCAGTTCTCTTTACCCCACTGTCAGCCACTAAATCAAACTTATTGACATGCGATATCATTGGAAACTCACAATAAACTGAGATCTCCTATAATGTAATTGAGCATTCTTGCAGCACAGAAGAACCTCTTTCATGGCTCAGTACCTGGTCTTGAGTCAGGGGATGGAAGCGTATGTGAAGCATAAAAAAATCAGCACAAATATGTGTATCACAGTCTTAACTTATAGCCTTTTTACCTCTTTTAAAATGCCACAGCTTCTCTCTAGCAGTCGCTGTAGTGGCTCCTCAGTCAAACAGACCATGAAGACATGCCTGAATATTTCTATACTTGTGAAATGTCACCATAATTGCTCTCCGATAAGCCAGTAAACATGGTCAGCTCATTAATGGTAATTGCCTAAACCCAGACATCTCTGGGTGCCGTCGGCCGATCAGCAGCCACCGCTCGCCCCGAGGGCCTGAGCTGAATGAAAAAGAGCAAAAACATTCCTGGTGAAAGCCGTATTTCTCACACCAAGCGTTTAAGCCGTCCTAATTGCTTTCAGATGGAAGTAATCCACCGTCAGCCCTTCCAATAACAGGTAAAGTAAATGTTGTGCTACTTGGGAAAATAAGCTTTTTCACATCCGTCGGGGCTGAACTGCGTCTCTAGTAGTGCACTTGAAATTAGCTTCTGTTTATTCGTTTAAAGCACAGACCAGGAAGACGCTGTGTGTTTCTTTTTTCTTGTAATATTATTTGGTTGTGAAGTAGCTGTTGTTGGTTTTAGACACATGATTAGTTGATCTATTAAACTGGATAAACCTTAAATCCGTTCCTTTACAAACAACAACCACATGATGGCTCAATTATGCTATTATTACATCTTTAAACTAAAAATAGTGTATAGTTTGTCTACATTATTGTACTTTTAACATTTAGCTATACTTAAAAATATACAGCTGAAATCAGAATTATTCACCCCCTGTTTATTTCATTCCTCATTTTCTGTGTAACGGAGAGCAGATTTCTCCAGCACATGTCTAATCATAACAGTGTTAATAACTCATCTCTAATAACTGATTTATTTCCTCTTTGTCATGATGACAGTAAATAATATTAGACTAGATATTCTTCAAGACACTTCTATACAGCTTAAAGTGACATGTAAAGGCTTCACTAGGGTAATTAGGGTAACTAGGCAGGTTAGGGTAATTAGGCAAGTTATTGTATAACGATGGTTTGTTCTGTAGACTATCCAAAACAAATATAGCTTAAAGGGCCGAATAATATTGAGCTTAAAATGCTGTTTAAACAATTAAAAGCTGCTTTTATTCTAGCCCAAATAAAACAAATCAGACTTTCTCCAAAAGAACAAACATTATCAGACACACTGTGAACATTTCCTCAACCTGTTCAACATCATTTGGGAAATATTTAACAAAGAAATAAATTTAAAAGGGGGTGAATAATTCTGACTTCAGCTGTATATATAAGTGTGTATAAAACATCTGCAAAACACTTACAAACCTGACTTTACTCCAATTTCTGTTAATGAAATACATGCAAATGAATTTTCATGAATGCATTTATAATTCAGTAATGCCTCATTTGGTCATTTCATCTGAGAAAACTTCCCAAACTGATCATTTAATATGTTAATGCTCTGTGCTTAACTGCTGGAGTTCGCTGATCTCTAAAATGATCGCCCTGTTCACCTCTTGCCTTGAAGTGTATTTGAGCTGTCTTTG